CACAGGTTGACCGACGATGCAGTGGAATGGTTTTGCTCACTGGAAGAATATATGACCCTAACATATCGTCTGACCCCATCCTTACTCACCCGATGCTCCCACCATACGCTCGACATCGCGCAGACCACGGTTGTGGATGGCGGATAATCGGACATAATCTGCTTGGAGATGCCAAGATAAGCAGCCGTAGAGCAACACGGTGCGTACCGTAGCGCAATACACACACCATTCACTGAATGCGATATGTCTCGCCGGCGCCAGAGGTGCCGCAGATCAGCGAACGTCAATCTAGCTTTGAATATGTATTCAGATTTCTCCTCGCCCAAACCTCGTCCAGGAGCTTTGCAGCTACCCAGGTAAGCAAAGCTTTCAACTACTTCCATTATGGTTGCACACCGGAGATTCCGAAATGGGTTCCTGCCAATCTTGCAACGACACCTTGCACTTTGAAGGTGGAAAGTACATACCATAACGAGTAACCTTAGCTGCCAAACAATTCAGTGTGTTTCAAATCGCCGGTGAGTTGTCATTGAGTAAGACAAGATCATCGGCATACTCAGTCGACGACTCTGTCTCCAGGAAGAATCTCCACGCCACCGTTCGTTATTTTAGCTAATGGTTTTTGACGAACATCATCTATGGCAAAGTTGAAGAGAAACGAAGAGATAGGACAAACCTGTCGTACCCAACTGGTCACAGAAAATGAGGGTGAGGGTTTACCATAGGCTCTAATTTCCCCGAGGTCTGACGATAGTGTTCTTAGAAGCAGGAAATACCTCTCGGGTACTCCGTATCCTCGCAAATAGTTCCACAGCGCAGCGCGATCGCTGGGGGCGTAGGCCAGTCCGGTGCCGAAAAGCACAAAAATATTTTGTCGCGACGTTCTAGCCGCTGACGTACGATAAAGGTTTGATCTGTGCACCATAGAACATCTAAGGATAGCTAAAGTTGAGTTTATTGCTTCGGGAATGTATGGTTAACTGGAAGAAATGAGAACTGGGGCGTGAAGATGAAGTTTGAAGGATGGTAAGTCCACATCAGTGATTGAGATATCTAAGCGGTAGCCCACTTATGACTACTCACCCTCTCGGAAAGCGCGGTTTTAATTATCCTGCGCGATAACCGACGCATTAGAGATTATGTGTGCTTTAGAGTTTGATAAACGTGTACTGTGAGGACGTTCAATCACTGGGCAGGAGAGCGATTAGATCTCTCAACAAAAGATCGTTGTTCTGATAACATTCTAAGCGCAAAGCAGTGGGTTCAACGGAGTAGAGGTCTAGCTAATTTGACTGATTACTCCTACAGCACTTTATCCACTGAGACAATGAGTCAAATGGAACTCACAACTTGGTTTGATAAAAGTAATCTTGTGTACCTTGTCGGGGCAATGAAGTGCATCAGATATCACACCATGTGAAAATGCAAACTCCCCGAGGTCGTAAGTGATTTTGGTGGTTAATTGAATTGAGTTAATCTAATTCGTACAAAATGAAGTTCCCAAGAAGAACTATGCAGAGCAGTCCGCAGGAACTTGAATGTTGAGGCAGTTTGGGTGATCCAAGTGGTTGTCAGTTCGAGTTGACATTTCATCTTGCACATTATTGAACTCCTATGAATTCGAGGATTTTCTGTCTACTAGATTATCTAACGCTGAACATCATGCTTCCATCTCACATAATCTATTCATCATCCCCTATAACCCATCGATCCGTTGTTTGTATCAAAAATTCGTTAATGCAGATACGGTTTCATTTTTGTTTAAAAATCTTTTCCTCACTTCAGCTCCTGTTTGTGAGTTTAGAATAATGTTGTCAAAAAATTAATTCTGTTGTTTAATTCATATTCTTGAAAAGCAAATTCCTATTCTGACATTTGCTAGACACTACGAGAATATCACCTAATGAATTAATAACAGCTAAGTAACTATGGAAATAATAACAAAGTCCAATATAGATTACGATGAAACATTTTGTGCAATATACCTTCAATTTAGCATCATCCACGATCCTACCGCTAACGGTCGAATGACTTCTTCCCGTAAATGCCATTTCTGTTTAGCTGAAATTAATAACTAATTTGAAAGTATATACTTTCTATCGGGGAAACTCCTCTCCAAAGCAAACATTTGTTCCATTAATGACACTTAACTCGATTTTCAACTCAATCTACTGCGATTAATTTCTCCCCTATACGAAATCTCAACCCGTCATTTCTCCGAATACGCAATTCACAGACTGTCATGAGTGTTTTCCACACGCTGGTGCAGAGAGTGCATGTATGCAGCAACACAAAATCCATTGGTAGAACCTCTCTTTGACATAGATTTGGAACTGCTTATGCACCAGTCAGGACCATATACACTCCGCGCTCTCACAGACGATGTTAGGAATTACAAACAGAACGGATATCGTCTACAGCGTTTAGAGGTCAAGTATTGTGGATGGTCTCTCCTCACAAAGTAACTCTCCGCAATGATTCTCTTCGGCTCTGTTTTCGTTCCACCGATTATGCTTGAGAACGTCCCTCAAGAATAAGGTCAAACTATGTCCCATAGAGTGTCTCCTCACAATATGTACTCATTTTACGCAACATCTTTAATATGAAAGGCTTCTCATTTTTCGAAAATCATTAGAGAAAAACAACTTATTGCTCTTATAGCATGCACTACAGATGCCGGTCATTGTGTCAACACTTTTAGTGATTTTTAACTGACTAAAGTCCTCTGAAATCAGTCATGTTCTCTGAATCCGTCTAACGTCTGATTCATCGAAATGAATGAATATCTATTCAAATCCATTATTATTGGGACTTTGGAAATTCAGGAAACGTAAACCATCTGAGACCACACTTAGACCAAAATGAAAAGTTTTATAACAATCAACATTGTTCGACCCAATAATTTCAAGGCTGAATAAGTTGGATTTACCATACATTCTTGTTTCGGCCCACTTTGTCAGCAGAGGAACACATTTCCTCTATTACTAAATCTTCCTCAATTGGTACAGCGGTAATCGGTTATCCGGGTCCTTAGGAGTTACCCTTGACCTACCTAATTTCATAAGTAATTCCTGTCACCGGACCGTCATTACTAGCTTACAAGCATCATTATCGTTTGGCGGTTTCTTCGCCAAGCAAATGAATTATTATCTTCTTAATATAAATGCATCGTTTCACCCAGTATATCACCAATCCTGACGCATTGCCCTAACCACATACGATTGCAATTCACTACAAAATCCAAAGACGTCGCACTGCTTTTCTGATTAGAATAAAAGCAATCATTTACCAACGGTTTCTGGATTCTAACAGTATCTTACTTTAAATGCATTAAAGGAATACTCACTGTATAAGTTGTTTTGACTTTATCTACGATTATTGCGACATAATGCATTTTCCTCAAACAAGTCCTTCATGGATAATTATTCTGGTTCATTAGTCCATTGCAAAGCAGAATTGTTCTTCCTGCGGAAATACCTTACTCTCGAAAGAATAAACCACATCTAGATGAATCCTAAGATGTTAGCAACGGGTAAAACTGGACCGACCGCCATATTCAAATCCCCTGAAATTAACAAATGGTCATTTATATCTTAATAAAATAATCTTCCTTATGAATGACCTTGATAAATTTGTGCGATTTGTCGTTCTGGACCACTAACCTGCCTTGGATTCTATTCTCTACTCCCTCCTTCTCCGTAAACTGGGACCTTCGGTTTTTAGAAGCGGTTGCTAGCCTGGCTAACTGATTACTTGCACATGGTCGGATCGAAAGGAGTCCAAATCATTGTTGGACATCTCAGGAATCAGGTAGATGAAAATAAGTCTTTTGATGATTTTGCTAGAATTAAATCAGCTTAAACTTTCCACTGTATTAAATTGAGAGAGATACACGTGATGCCTAAAGCCTACGTGGGCGTAGCAACAACGGAGTTCACCACAAATGGCTACTGAAACGTAGTCAGCTTATGTATATTGTTATTCCAAAGCTGTACCTTCACCTATGCTACGCACTATGTGCACTGACACGAAGATTTCGAAAACAAGTAAAATGAATACTTTGATTAACTATCACTGAATATGACCTGTTCAAACATAAATCTGTCCCAATCAATAAAGTGTATAAAGTGATTTAGGAATGAACCAGCTACCAAGGGGTGTGACCTACGCAGTAAGATCCATACACAAACGCTGCCATCTCCGAATTAGCAATGGTTAAACCAAGAGCATGTGAAAATAATTTATTTCCAAACGCTGGGTGTCATCGACATTTTAGATCTAAATTAGGCGTTCGGCGATCAACCAGAAGGTTCGCGATTCGAATCCTACCGGAACGCATAGTATCACAGCATTCCACTGGGGTATTTATACCTTCGAATGGGTTTTGGTTCAATGTAAAATACGTGGTATTCATCTAGACATGCCTATCGCTCAAGAAGGTTTATCTGCGGTTAGCAGCATATAATAATTATCTTTATCATCACCATCAATTCATAATGAAATGTAATGATGAAAATGCCATCTACCNGTTGCCAAGAGCACATGTACAAAGTGTGCTATAGTGTGCAAGATGTATAAGGAGTGGGTCTGTTGTACCGTACTGAAGTACACACTGAAGTACCAATGAACAGCTCCACAATTTATTTTATAATTTATACCATATAGTATTAAATTTCAGTGACGTTTAAAGAAGTACTACCGTGCCACGCCAATCGACAACAGGATGTAATGTATTTAAAAAAAGTCTATTTGAATCGTTGTTTTCCTAAAATACTTGTTGCCAAAGTGAATAAGGCTCAAGCTGGGGGAGTTTGTAATTTTCGATTTTGACTGTATTTCTTTCTCGCTTGCATTTTGGATTATCAAGCTAGAATTCATTTACTGTCACATAGTATTTCAGTGCACACACCTATCTCTCCTATAAAGGAAATAATAGAAAAAGCTTTTATTCTCTAATTTTCCCCGTTGTTTGTCCATGATGAAGCAATTACGTGACTTACCTGAGTATCATCCTCCGCTCCGGGGCTCTCCCGAGCTCTGGGTGAGCGGTCCCGATGATGTCGAGTGGAGTGATGTGGACTACCTCTGCGGTCTGAAGTGGATCGCCTGGTAACCGGACTGTAGTTGTACTAAAGTAGACATAGATACAAGTAAGTTAAGACTGAAATGGATTTGCTTAAGATTCACATATTCATGACTTTAGAACCACTAGGTTTAGCTTGGTAGATCATGAATTCAACTGATTAGAGCTTGGCCGAACCAAAGGACTTTTCCATACTTGACATTATTATACCCTTCCGTCCGAAAATCTCCGGACGTAACGGAAAACCATCAGTGAAATCTTATTATTTCGCTAATCAAGGTACACGTTATAGAATGGATACATCCAAAATGATAGATAAGTGTGAACTTTTCACTGGGTATACATTTGTAGCACAACTTTATCTTCGATCTTATCTACCAGGAACTTCCGCACAGCAAAGAAAATTGATCACCGGAAAAAAGCTCAAAAAATCAGGTTTCACAGTAGCCGTTCCATCCTGATTGGTCATACAGAGTTGGTTTCACACTTGCTAGTCTTCCACTGCTCGTTGCGTCACTAAAAGAGTTTTGTTTCCGAAGCTCTAAAGCTTTTCGTTTCATATAAACTGATGACTCAAAATGCCCCCATTTGAATAAACTTTAGTGTAAAATCCGCTTTTTGCTTGGTGGTAAAACAAAATCAATACAACCACCAACGTTAAAAATGAACCCAAAGGACTATCATCGAAAGAACAAACAGAATATGTTCCCATTATCTGTGTGGATTACAGCTGTTTTACAGAGTTCGTTCCACGCACGCAGGCGGTTCGTTACAGGTGCATTAGTGTCTTAAACTGGTTTGTTGAACAAGAGAACTGCAGCACGCTTACTTACCAGTAAATCACTCTTCCGATCAGATTCAAACTGATACACCAATCAACACACTTCCTTCATTATTATTAAAACCGAAACATTTAATATAAGTACACTCATTTAAAGTAGAAATTTTCTTTTTCCTTCCAATAGGTAACCTCGGAAATGAGAATGATTAGCTCAAGCCTGAGAACAATAGATTTTTTTGTTTTAAAACCGTTGAGAGACGTTGCAATTCTATCCAGGTTGCGTCTCACTAAGTAATTAGCTAACTTTCTTCACTGCTCATAGAAAAAAACTTAACTTTCTGCTTTACTGACGCAACCCAAAAAACAGTATAGTTCTGAGATCACATCATGTAAATACAAACACATCCATAAACCGTACAACAAAAGAAACATTTCCAAGCTCTTGAACTGGTCATCTCATCTTAAAAAGACAGATTATGAAGTACGAAAAGGACTCCAATTTTCCATCAAAAGATGCCCAACGCAAGGAGTCTGTAAAAGTCTGGAAGAAGTGTTCAACTAGTAGAAGTTTGCGTTTGAATTCAAATGTTTTTATGACAAAATTATGAAAAGCATTAGTATTGAAAGATTAGAAGTGATTTCCTTGCAGTTGATAGAAACAAAACAGAATATATAAGTGAGTCTGAATGCAAACATCCAATGTTTGCAATTCACGGAGTGCTGGTATTGAAGTGCCGGTTTAATTGACGTGCGAATCACTCCGGCTTGTTTCAGTTTGAGCGAGTCAACTTATGGTGTCACAAACACCAACGATGAGAATGTGTATCAAGCAGGTATCACTTATCATCAGATGTCAACAAAGTGAAACCACAGATAGGAGCGAAGTGGAATGATGACAGATAACCGATACGCACGACTCGGGGATGGACTAGTTTGTAATTACATCAGGAGGTGAATGAGTACTTGAACAGCATTTCAGGCATAGGGTTTGAGAGGAGGAAAAACTGACGAAAAACGCAGCAAGCAGACGGAAATAAAACTATGCATACTGAATTCGTGGTAAGATGTTGATATCTCACCACAGTGGCTTCATTGATTGAAACATTGACGTCATAAACCTCAGTTTCTGGGTTTCAGTCCCTATAGATCTGACCTATATTCGCACCGAATGATTTTCACCCACAAACGTATAACTCAGACGATGCATCCATACTATACAAAATGTAGTGTTTTCGCTGAGCAAAGACGCACACACACGTCACATACACTTGGAATATCAAAACACGTGACTCAGAGATAGAGCTCTATTCCATTCATTCTTTCAGGTAGTCTGAAAAAGATATAAAGTTGATTCCGAGTTCCCGATTCCATCGGTGAAAAGGGATCAATGGCATGTTCAGATTTCAAGAACGACGAGTTCCTTTTTACCATACCGGTTGGTTAAGCACAAAAACTGCGTCGTCTTTCACAACAATCTTTTGATTATTTCCTCTCCCCATGAACTGAAGACAAAGTCAATCGTTAGAAGAGATCGCTCCATTCGTTAGTTCCCAGTACATGTATCAATGATCACCTTGTAACCGAGATTCTGAGACCAAAAGAGAACAGAGCAAACAATGTAAACCAGTCTACTTCTAATCACTGAAGTGTGTACATTTATATGTTCATGTATTCTTGCTTTTGAGAAGCTTAACATAAATAGAATCAAACGATGTCGCTTAGAGGTACTTACTTCTACCTCGCCCGTAAACGCCTCGTGACGTCTTGTTGTCTCCGGATATTGGTCCAAATTGAAATTTCGAGGAGTGGTTGCTCGATTGCTGACAACGTGTGAGACGGAATTAGGCTAAACACGCGCATGTGCACGGGAAAGCAGAAAGCAGGGTGCACGCATTAATCCAATGCATAAACTGTCTATTTCATGAATGTCATCAGTCAGTTAGCTTAAAAGGAAGCTGAAACTGCTTACTGTTGGCAGTGTAAACATACGATTCATGCATTTGGCCGGGCTACACGCTGATTAGAATGTGGTAAACCATTTTAGGTGGATGGTGTGGTTCTGGCAACGGTGATTATTTTGTGGATTTCATCTTGGTTGCATTACTTTCTATGTAATTCACTGGCCGTCGTAGCCTTTGTGACAGGAAAGCTGGTTCCTATACGAAGGAATTCGTCCCCAGGTGCGGAAAATATATAGTCAGAAACAATTACTGTAGGTTTGCTGAGTTACATAAGTGAATCACTATCTACTTATTTCGTAGGATTTTCTATCTCACTTAGCGCAACTCATCAATGGTCTCTTGAGAGTGATGAGTTCACTGGTTCTAAATGGAAAATTCAACCGCTAGACTGTAGCAGTCGATTCCAGTATTTCCTCGAGAAACAGTAACTATTACATACCTCAAGTGGGAAGAACCAGAGCCTTATGGTTCAAAATAAACTGTTTCCGGAACAGTTGTATCAAGAGTTCGTCCGCAGCTTTGATTATTGGTTTGGTTAAAAGCGTTATTATTTGGTTCGAGTCATCGCTGTTCACACATCTACTGTCAGAGTACATTCGACCGTATACAGAGTACTTCTGGATTCCAAGAATACAACGTGATACTAAGAGGAGAGAACGTCCAAAAACGGTAACCATCGCCATTGTCAACGGATGGCATTTCCCTACATAAGTGGTTAGATCGCATTCAATGGAAACATATTCCACTCAGTACCGCCGAAGTNTTTGGTTTACGAAATACTGCTCAACCCAAACCATACGTAACGTCTGCCACTCAAATTCTCACCCAACGTCCACTTCAGGGACATCCGTTTAAACTCGTGGTCCAAAAATGCTTACTAGAATGTGAATATCCCATCCCACAGATTTTGTTCTCGCTGAACCATCGAAGAGGAACCGCTGGCGTGCCTCACATTACGCCACTGATGAAAGCACCTATTTTGGACCAATGTTCTGTCTAGCATTCAGATAGTAAAAGCAATTTCACAACTTCCTCATTGTACAACCGACAATGAGATATTCGATTTCATCGGTAAACATCTATTATGCTTGTTTTGGAGATAGATTTGAAAGATGTATGCATATTTCCTTTGATTTGGAAGCAGAAACGTTCGGTAAAATTTATTTCAACCAACATCTTTCTTCTTGAGTCGATAACTCTGAACTGTCCGAACCATGCGCAACTGTTCATGTTTCAAATCCCAGACAACTTTCAGTTTTTTTTTATGTTCTCCCTCTTTTATTTTATTAATGATACATTTATACATAACATTATCACGAGAGAAAAAGCAATCAATGAGGGGGTTACCACGACATAATTAGAAGGGCAAGCAGAACAGCAGGGCTGGGGTCCAACACATGACTAGTGTCGGGCGGTGTGACGCAAACCAACACAGCATGTCAATGATTTCTTTTTGGCAGATATATGAAAGATCTGTTTAAACGTGAGGCTGTATTGAGCAAAATTCATGGCAAGCAAACCTAGTGCAAGCCAAAAGACACTCACTCCGGGTACTGTACCACAAACTTCTTCCTGAGGTTGAACCGTCACGATCCCGGACGGAGACATATAAGTGGCCACTCTGCTGGACCGACCTGTATAAGTCATTCTTTGGTCATCCACTTGGGACACATGTTCTTGAACGGGCTACATGGGTTCGTGCATAAAAATGGAAAAAGGATAAAAAATAATATGATTGTGGTCAAAATGATCACTGACATTGCCGGTAGTATTTTGACGGACATCTACTGCGCTCAGACCAATTTAGCGAGGCATTTAAACAACACTTACCAGGGGGTTGAGAACATGACTAATTGCGGAACGAACAACCGGAAGATATTCTGTTGATATCCGATCCTCACTCTCAGTCGATTGAGTTGGGGCGGAAACTTCCCATCGCTTAAATGTTGGGCAGGTAAAGATATTTGTCGTACAGTCATTGATATTACTCGTGAATACAAATGTAAACATAGGTATGTAATTGGGATGTATTTCATCACTGTATGAACAACGCTTTATTGCATCACCCTCAAAATATTTTTCTGTAAGATTCCAACTCGGCGCACAGCTTTTAGTCACTACTTACGAAAAGTATTCATCCAACAATTATTGTCTACTTATATCTCCTCGGTGATCTTACGTGCTGATCACTTACGATACCGGTTACTCCGAGAAGAAAGAAGACGGCCAATCAGAAGCTGATAGGAAACACGAAGATGGAAAAGTTTTAGACATCGGTATTGGTGCGTTGGTGCACTTCTTTTCCTGGCNCCTGGCTGAGTAACGGTGATTCATGGGGTTTAACCAACAACAGCCTCAAATGAAGTACATCAAAGCATTGGTTTATTGCGTTCTACGTGTCTATTTATTTTGATTGGTTTGTACATCATCCATTTATTACTCATCAGAGGCAGAAATACTGCGAATGAGCAACACAATGTTACTTCGCATAATTACGCATTTTTTGCCAGACTAAAAATGCTGCTTAAAATTTCACACTTTCTCATGTAAATTTTCATCCTGCAATTTTCCACATTTGCTATGCGTTCTCGGTTCCTTCTCATTATTGTCTGTTTACCATTTGTCATATCGTAAATCCATTCTTATAGCATGTTTGCCAAGGCAAAAGTGATAACATTTTTTGTCACTAAAAATTCTGTCCACAATGGATGAATAAAGTACACTCTTTAGTTGACTTGACGTGTGTATTTATGTAGGTGTGAATTGCAGTCTGCAGAAAATGGTTCATGCATGACTGTTTTTAAATTCAATTCTAGTCATATCACGGAGATTTGAAACCACTTAGGGACGTCGACTAAGCCGTGTACAGCATACACTCTATCAGCTGGACTACGAAGGCACTGCTGATTCTGGTGGATTCTAAGAAAAGTTTAACGTGACAGCCGGGTTATGTGCTACCTGGTGGATTCTATATACCTCTGAAAGTTGACTGGGAGATCCTAATGCGATAAGATCACTGCTATCGGTATGACCTCGTAACTCATCGAGCAGAGCATGCACTGTGCGAAAGCGCAGGTGATCATCAAAGATCAAGAGATGCGACTGAGTACTGATTACTTTAGGTTTGGTCAAATAAATAGGAACACAAAATTAAATCTCATCGGTTGTAGAAACGATGACATAAACATATTAAAGTGATGCCCTTAATTGGACTCACCTTTTCGCTGGTCTGGTATGGGAGCTTGGATCAAAAATAGACAGACGAAAAACAAACAAGTGTAAGCAAGCGATAGAAATAAGCTAGATGACTGAGTTAAAACGAGTGTTTTATATACGTATATGAAAAGAAAAAGGTCTGAATGTCCGGTCTGTGCGATGCAAACGCCCTTCCGTGTCTGGAACGCTCCGTTTCTTCAAACGTGATCACTACTTCTGGTCCAGTCGCGTAAGTTTGCTCTGACTATTCTAGTAAGAAAATGAACTGAATAGTTGAGTCTTCCAGTTGACTAGCACGGTGGAGAGAGTAAATGTTAGCTCACAGTTGGTTGTGTTTGCATAAAAGAAATATGCTTCTTTTTCATTATTGATTAGGTTTGCAACTGTGAATAGTCAACGGCATGTAAAGGAATATTTTCTGGGTAAGTCACTTGCGTAAGTCACTCAATTGGATACTTTTTGAAGGATGGCGTAGATTTAGCTTTCCAAATGAGGTAGAAATAACCCGGGTAGGAAATGGCACTGTCCGTTCTCAGCATCTGTCTGCTTATATATTATCATACTACCCTGTCTCATAATGGTTCAGTCATGCAGAAAAAACATTATGATCACTAGTGACAACCAGAAAACCATGCGTTGATCGTATTTTCTGGCGCTTATAAGCAACCTAGTACTAAACTGAGGATAAATCAAAATGCAGACTGTTCAAATACACCAGATTGAGATTCCGTTTGTAAATTCCACAAACTTATGCACAGTATTTCACTGCTCACTGACTGATCTGCATGATACAACTTTAGAATGAATCCTTTCAAGTGTAACCATGTCTTATTTTCTTTACGGGAGGGCGACCGATACATTGATACGATGTACTCGTGCCAGTGTGTTATTATTACTGGAGAACAAGTTTCCACAATATGCTCCGTCAAATATCTTGGAGTCACCATTTTCCGTAATCATTCTTGGTCTCCTCATGTCGTCGACACATTTTAAAAAGTTAGGAAACTCACATCTTACATTATTCGTTTAAAAATGCTATCTGCCCCAACTCAATTAATAAAACGTTTGGTCTTATCTTGTATCGTTCCCCACTGGCTTTATGCATCCCCAGTTATTGTTCCGTGACTTTTAACCAAACACCTCAAACTCATACGTACATCTATGAAGCACGTAATTCGATACAGTGGTATAACTCGCGAACATGTCGCGTAGTTTATAATTTCACAGCACCTTAGGGCTTGCTAGAAAATTTCTACCACAATATTACTAGACCAATCTCACCCCATTTACTCTCATCTTAGTAAATATATCTTTACATCTAGCACTTGCTCTAAGTATAAGCATATAGCAGCGTGCACCATAACATACAAGACTTCTGTAACACTGTAGGTTGCACGGTTTCTTACTTACGCCGATCTTGTCATTGAGACCCTTAAAATCAAACTTGGATGAATTTATCTAAACTGGTTGTATATGCAGTGTACCATCATCCTGGTTTTTACCATGCCATTTCCACAGAGGAGTGATTCTTTAATAGCTGTATGTTCATCTTCAATAGAGGTAAATTAAAACCGCTTTATGAATTGACTTGGGACCTAAATACCAGGTTCCAGTGTCCAAAAGATATGAACTAGTTACCATCAGATCCCCGGAGGTGTGTCGTTTCCTGCTAATGAATAAACCATACTCAAGTGAGCTACTTTGAGCAAGCCTAAGAAAGACTCACCGGGATCCCTTCGTATACTCCGTAGGAGGAAGACGAGGCCTAGAAAGAGCGAGGAGCAAGGGAAAAAGGCATATGAAGTACCTATTCGAATTAAATCAAATTGACCGTATCAAGTGTACGATCAAGAAATACAAACAAACTGTGCCTACAATGATTATGTTTGTTTAAGCTTCAGTGTACCCAATGAAAACTTAGATTACTGACAAAGTAAATGCATTATAACTGGCCAACGGTACAGATGTCAGCCATGTTGTTCTATGAAGCTTTTTTTTCGTACTGTTTTCATGTTCAACTCAAGTACTATATGTTGCTACAGGTTTTCTGAAGATACTAAAAACTAATTCGTCCGGAAACTTTGGATGTGCAAAATAGGTCGTCTCACGTACTATATTCAGCTGATGTATCCTGGGGCTTAGATTTTTCTGCGGCAGTTAACATTTTAGATCAGAATTGCTGTCCAGACACGATAAATAGTTTTCAGCATAAGGGGACTTGTTTCCTCAAAATAATGCATCCCCTTATAGGACAAGAAATGAAAAAATCATGTTGATAAAGTGGCAGGGTAAAGTTAGAAATTAGATTTATTTTTGTTTTACCAAACTGCGAATTTTCCGCGAAAGCTGGATCACTTGTAGACTAGAGAAACACCCAAAAGGATTGGAAGAAAAGTGGCAAAGTGAAAATCAATTTACTCCTTGCCTAAGCGGTTACTCTTAGGCATTATTTTGTAAATAGAACCAAGTCATATCTCCATCTCACTCCCAATTGTAGAACAAATAGTTAGTTACTTTTTATGATTAGCCTAATGAGAAACGCTTTCTTAGCCTAATCGATGAAATATAAAAAGACACAATACGAACCGATTCAGACAATGTATGCACAATCAGAACAGCGTTGAGACGGTTCAGCGTTACATTGCATGCACGAGAGGAACATTTGTGGAAGAAGAACAAAGTTGGATGTGAAAAACGCAGTGTATTATCTGTTCAATGATTTGGCGAATACAACGTTTAGCCGTGCGGATTTCGTGTTGAAATGAAAGCATGTCTGAATGATGATTTAGGTCAACCGAAAGAAAAATTAGGGTCAAAAACCTACTATTAGTTGAAAATAAAACCGTGTCATTCTGTTTGCCAGTAATTAAATTTTCAAGGTGAAATTAATTCATTTAGGCCTCAGATAGAACTTCGTCCGTTGTGCATATACCACGGGCGACCCAAATCTAGAGAAATTGATCCCAATGTTAGTCAGGATTTGATATAAACCCAGTTTAAAGCTCATTTCGGACAAATTACATGGGGCAAATGTCTTCTAATCAGTGTCAGGACTTCCCGAATAACAACATGTTGAGTTACAATGTTGATTGATTGGAACAACCAACAGTGATGGAATATCGAAAACAAACTAATGTGCCGAACGGTTGCTAATTCTCAGGTTCCAACTGGGCCTTTTACTGACAGCGAAGGTGGTCTCGAGTATCCGTAGACAAAAGCATCTGAGGGTGGTTGTCACTGATTTCATTTATTTGCAGTCAGGATAGTCTACACACGTCTTCACAATGCTGTGCTTCCTTAGCCCTTAGCCGAGATAGTTTATATCATTGCAAATGTGAATCTTGACCACTGACACGTCGCTCCTCAACGACATACATAAAACAAAATCCTAATCAAATAACGACATCATCCAACGAACCTCTCTGATTTAGTATGATGATCAAGTATAAGCGCTCTGTTAATGGAACCTTCCAATCCTCAGGTTCCATCACCGACAAACAAAACCGAGGCTTCCGGTGGGATAGGCTTGTCACTCCAATAACTGGTATGAGGTTTCCACTAAGGATGAACGGCAAGGTTGAAAGATGACGTAGAAGAATCAAGCAAAGCGGATAAAATAAGGCTTTGAATTTTAATCGAGGACAAAGTCCAAGCAAGAAAAAAACGCAGCGAAATTGACTGACAAGAGAACAACCAAACGAGACTGACAGCCGAATAGAAGAAAACGCACTGAACGAGAACGAAAACAATTTGAAATCTGCAAGCAAACTGGCATCCGATTTTTCGTAAAAACGTTCTCACCAGTAGATCGTGCAAACTGCAACGAATTGAGATAAAAATCACAAAGAAATCAGGAGAAAAACAAGTTTTGCACACTGGCGAAGATACTGTCCTGTACATAGTTGCGTAGAACAAAATAAATTTTTAGCCCCGAGATACAAGTGCGTTGATTGTTTCAGATGAATTAATGGCTGTATGTGATGGAAATCGTTTTTGGGTATGTTACAAAAACTCTGCTTGCTCGTTACTTAATTTGGGGCTATCTCGAGTGTAATGCAAACGCGTTGTATGCGGTGACACATGCGGAATGAAAGACATGTCGAACGACAGCCACTTGACTGCACAGGCGTTCTTTGATCTATCTAATGTATATTCTCATCCTATAGGGGGAAATTTCCTTTACGGGAGATGTCCGTCTTAGTTAGCTACAACAACACCATTTTGATTGTTTTCGACCATTTGGTGGTGGCTCGATGTACTGAATAGTTCGCGTGGAACGATTGCTCAGTGTTCGACTGGAAGTACTTGTCACTGAAGAAATGCCTGAGGCGCGAGGTGACAAAAGGGATTGTCTTTGGTCTGACTTCGCTGAAGGATTCATCTGAGGCGGTTCATGACTCAGTGCACTTGAGTCTGGCATAGCTGACGCTAGGCCGTCTGTAACAATATTAACTCGACGGGTACGTGCTGAAGGTTGTGGTTTAGTCCTCACACTTGAATTGCGAGATACCCGCGGGAGTGCGGCGGATTTGGAGCGATGAGTTTTGTCCGGAAGACTGCGAGTACGTCGCAGTGAGCTGGATTCCAATTCGGCTGATTGAATACGTTTTTCTTCGGATTTCACAGCAGCGGTCAATTGTGTATGTCGTCTGTTGTCTACAGCTATAAGACCACCCGAAGAGTGTTTGTTGTGGATCTAAAAAGAGAAATTAAATTAAATTTGACTTAGAATCGAATGGAACAGACAAGAATTTATCTTGATTCTGGAGTAGGTGAAAAAGTTTTTACGTAAATAATAAATAATTTCCAGTTTTTCTGCCCGATTCATTTGGCTAGCCAGATCTGCCAATCCCAATTTCGAGGCTGGACAAGTTGCGCAGCATTTTATCGATCAAACGGTCAAACTCAAAACAGAAGAAAGTAAACTAAATGAACTTTAACAAATATTTTTCAAACCACCTTAATCCTGCTAGGTAAGCTGCAAACAGTGATTCCTATTTATTCTGTCTCTAGCGTGCTTGGGTGGAATGAATCGTAAAGTCATTTTCTGGAAGCATTCAGGCGAAAGACTCTCTAGCCTTCAGGGTTTCTTTAATTCTCATGTGATTTTTGTCTATTGTTGAAACGGTTCACGATGTTGATGTTTCATCAATACGTATGTCACTTGGAAGAACTTGCAACCGGTTTTCACTTCGGTTTACGGTGAACAAATCAAGCTAATGTAAGTCGGACACATTTTTGTTATCAACTGAACTATGTGCACGCTCCTGTTGTTGCATTTGCGGCCAAACTCGTCACCAATATTTGATAACACATAAATGTGATGTAAATAAAAGACCAGAAACTTCAAAAATGTACTATTTTGTTATTATCTTTCTAAAATTCAGCTGCGTTTTTCGTGAACTAGTTTGTAAAATGTGTCCCTGTCCGTTAGCTGTAGCATGTATAACATTATTATTACATGCAATGAAAACGTTTAAGATAACCGACAAAGAGCACTGGAAAGCTGTTTCGTCCTGTTTGAGACTCGTCAGCAGTGCGTTCCTTTTGTGTTCTTGCATGAAATTAAGTAACGATCTCTCAAGGAGTGAAACCCACACCCAAGAACATCGAGATTGCCTGGTGTTTCTTAACAATCGAATGGGTTAATTAAAGCTTACCACTCTAAGATCATTATATTTCCCTCTTGGTTTGACCCGGATTTTATATCAAACAAATCGCGCATCAAGAAGCTGTTTAAAAAAAAATCAATTCCTAGTCTGTTCCTTGTTGCCAGATTGTAGGTGATCTTCTTAGGACTTCACGACCGGAGTCACAGGCTGACCCGGAAAACAGCAGGGCATTGTGTCTGTAAACCGCAATCCAGTGAGGTCGTTTTCCGGTCTCTCGGGTATTGCGTCCTTGGTGCGTGACTCATAAGTCCATGATACCTAGTATACCCTAAAACCAAATGAAGTCAATAACCAGCACAATCTGGATGCCATGGAGCTAGTGCGTTTGAAAAGTTTGGAGCTACGGCTTACTAGAGGCACCAAATGAGTCAAGATTCACTGGTTCACCAACCTGACCTTAGCCCCGAATATTGGTCATCATGAGTGGTTGGCTGTGGAGCCGTTTCCAGTTTTTAGACCCAAACATTGAAAATCTTTGCTAAAAGCTAAGTCAAGATTTTATGCCAAGATGTTTGAGCGCATTATCATTTTTGTTATTGGTTTGTTATCCAGAATGACTGTTACGATTCCATACATTTCTTGAATAAGCCAGGGAATATCATTAACAGAAATTTAGTTTAATAAATAATTTAACCGTTTCTCTACTCAGATTAATTCAGAGTTGAATCGATTGTGTAAATGTTTTCTGGTGAGATAGGGATTGCTAGATTGGTAGAAAAGCCAATTTGATTAGGTGGGTACTTATAGCTCTTCCTTTTACAGGAAAATACTAGATGACTCTTTATCGTCCAAATTGAAGTTCCATTGGATTTTCTTAATGTCACTCAACTTCAGCACTAATATGACATCCGGAGTTTAGGGCATTCCGCCACAGCTAGGTCAAACTTGGCTTATTAGGCGTAATCGTGACTTCTGTGTTTTGAGGCGGAAAAAACTGTCCATGTTGAATAAAACGATCTATGCAAACCATTGATTGCGTCTTGAATGATCGATGTAGTGTAGATTACTAGGTTACTGTTTCCTGGCTAAACTGAAGATATCTAATTTCCATCCACAGATATGATTAGAATATGAGCTAAATGTGTCAGAAGATGATATTTTCGATACCTAGTTCTCATCGAGAGGAGCAGTACATTAATGGACGATTAAGATGGTCACTCGGTGATCTGCGAAGAGATGTGAAGATTTTGATTAGTTTGACTCGGGTCGAGATTATTCCTATTTGCTTTCGGCACGGTCAAATTTTCAGGCACCTTAGTGTATGTTGATTTCATTATTTCACCGGTTCCTAATAGTTTAAACTGAAGTTCATTTAGCGGCAATTTCATTCTAGTGTCTCATGCACAATAAAATGGAAGACTAAGTAAGAGTTTTCTTTTCTGTCAATCCCAACGGCAAGTGACATACCTTTATAGATGCAAATAAAATCGGGGTGAATACCATTAAACGATTGTAGTTCATGGAGTTACATAATTTTCCTTAAATCTAAATGCAGTTCGTTCCTCGAATGTCCGATGTGGCTTCGGTAAACCCAAAGAGTATCTTTTTCGGATGAATAATTAGTTTTTGGTGTTACCTTAACCGCCACCACCAACAACAGAAGATATGGGCTTACTTCACTTGCGTGCTTTCCGTTTGGCTCGGATCTCCGACCTTTATTCGACTTTCGTCGAGAAGATTGTCGCTTACTGTCGCGTCGGTCAAAAACTCCCTGTGGATTCGGGTCCGGAACAGGTGCCTGTGCTCACGAAAACAAATGTCGGTACGGAGAGGAGGAAAAAAGAGGGGAGAAAATGATGTATTCGTTAATAGAAAAAAGGAGTAACTCAACCAAGATAACAGAATAGATGAAAACAGATGGAAAGTTCGGGAGCATGAAAAGGCTGCTTCAGTTTTTCCGTGAGATAGTTTAAGCAGTGCGACTAGGACTACCACATTGGCAACAGCAGACGTGGACATGGCTACTCCCAATCGCATCACAGATGGCTACTATTCTATCATCAGTTTTTCATTTGCAATTGTCTCCATCCCGTATGAATGAATAAAAGTTTGTCTGTTGCGTAACCACTGAACAAGTGTAGGAATACCTTAGCTTAAAGGCGTAGCAACTCAACTTCACTTGCGGGGGACATCAAAAATGCAATCATATTGGCGTACAGACGATGAGGGTAAGTCTTTTTACAGTTTTCCTATTTTCTTTCACATCGGTAACTTGGAGCCATCACCTTTCACTAGCTATCCAGTGACAGCTTTTGACAAACAAGAATGTCCAATTGGAGCCAACTGAAACTAAGAAAATAAGTGGTATATTTGACAGTGGCGTTTTTCCGTGACAACGTTCACGCTGTACAACGTTCGGAGTGTTACATATTACAAATCCGATTCTTTCCCATTGAAGCAAGTTAAAACCACCTTAGACTTATATTTTCCGAGTCGACTGTGAACGAATTTTTTTCGTTTATATCTATGAAGAAATCCTTCTATTCACTTGTCCACGGAAGCATGGATTCCTGTTATTTAGAAGTCTCATCGAATGGCAAATTGAAATGAAATCCTTTTTTGCGAAGCATAAATGTAATTGATAACCAGTAAGTTATACGTATTCCCTTTTAAAAGACGGGGCTGACTATGAGCGTACTGTAAATCATTAGAATACACGGGACACCCCAAGCCATTTTGGTGTCCGCCGAGCAATCTATCGCGACCTAGGCGCACTGGCCTGCCAACCAGATTTATGCCCGAATCGTAAAGTTACAATCAATTGTGTGGGCATCATTAGGGTATTCAGCGGTCAAGCATGTCGTGACAAACACGATTGATATTCCCATGCCATACAGAGACGTACGTGTATGTGTATTGTGCTCGCAACTCACCGAATGAACTAAAAACTGCGAAACCTCCATGTTTACAGTCGACTGACTTTCAAGAATCTGATTGTGATTAGGTAATGCATTAAAATAGAGAAGGGTACTACGATGCCGTAAGTTTTTCTGTCCAAAATTTAGTGGTCCATATATATATGCTAAAATCTTGCACCGTCATATAACAGTTAACCATTGTTTTCCGGATGTTTCAACGCATTCGTGAACACAATTATAAACATGGGTGCCATTTTGTCTGTTGCAATCATTTTTCTAACCAAATAAGGGCTGCGTCCTTCTTCCGTCGTTTTTTCACATATTCATCAGAAATTGTAAAAATATCATCGTCAAGATTGTTCCAAATAAACAAATGATATTTATTCCCTTATTGAAACTACGCATAAGTATACCATGAAGTGTCTATCCCATTGCAAATTCGATGCTCTATCAGAATTGTAATGAAAACCATCGTCTGATATACCCACCAGAACTGGTTTCGTTCAGGTCCCTGGCCAAAGGTTCACTTTTTTACCTACGACAAAATGTGCAGCGGGATCATAGAACAAGTGGATCGGGTTCATGAAGCGTTGCACTCATGAACTATTACCATGATTCCAGACCTAACCCCTTGCATGCATCACCAATGATACCATTAGAATACCGATCTTTCAAATTTGTTCGCTCCTTCCGAGGTTTGTCGCTCGAAATGAATGTTCATTGCAAAAAAGGTCAAAAAGACAATTTTTGAGTGTACGCCTTCCAAATAGCAGCTCAGAGTGGACTGGCTCCCATTTTGTTAGAAATAAGCATTTAGTTTAATTAATCAGGTAGTAGTACTCCATGGTTGGTTGTCTCTCTGCTTATCCACTGTCCCAGTATACATTCAGTTTCTTCTCTATATATTTCTTATTCTGAGCACAATTCTTCAGAAAATTTTGGCAAAACAGTTGCGCTGCCAGAGTTGTCCTCTTTATTGGAACATCGCCCTACTCAGTCATATCTTCTGCTCTGTCGCGGCCGTCATCGTTGTCTTCCTCGGCGCTCATTCCCGTGATTAATCTCTTTCCGCATTTTTAATACGTATGGTATTTTGGTCTAAAACAAAAAAAAAATCCATAGATAGCGAAAACGCATCAGACAAATGGCTGATTAGGATTCTAATGTTATTCCATCCAAAGCAGCATCATCCGTGCACAAATAGTAGTCGGACTGCCCGGGTGGTTAGGGCACATGGGAGATGAGACACTTTGACGGGAGTAGGATAAGGCCTCTCATCAATCACTGATGTGGATCCATCATTAGGTTGGGGTTTACAGTTTGACAGCCAGATATGGTTGACGCGAAAATCATTATGGGATTTAAAATCACCATCACCTCCCACATCNATCACAGTAATCAATGGGATTCACAAACAACTGGACGCGTAAATCCCCCACCCCAACCCGCATTGATTGACTACTTGAATATCCAACCATATTACTTGCCGAATTCCTTTTATAATTTTCTGGGAACCACCTGATTGTCTAGGTTTTTGCATTGTGTGACGAACTCTACAAAATCAAAGTCTGTATGTTGTGTTTAACCAAAAAAGTAGTGTTTTGTAGGTTCAAGACCCGACCATCGGGTTTGTTCCAAGGATATGCACAACCTCTGCAGTTTAGTGGTACAATCAGCTAAGACCAAGATAATGTTTTTGCAAGGTGAGATGACCGATTTTCAGTAGTATGGATTAGGGCAGGAGCATTATATCTATTTTGGCATTGACATCAGCACACACATACTGGTGTGATCCGCTTTTCGTCATCTAGCCAAATCGAACTCAGTCAGATGTGTGTGATGTAACTTAACTGGAGTGTGTGTAGCTGCACCTTCACTCATTGCAACCTTACTTTTAACATTACCCGTTGTATTCGCACCAGATAGCCGTCTGTTCGATTCCCATTACCGTGATTTCATTGAATAACCAAATTCATAACCAAACGTTTTCTTTATGCAAAAATGTTCTCTGTCGACCGTTGATGACTGATCTTCATTAGAAAAGCCTCCAAGTCTAATTTGACCTCACTCATGACCGATGGATATGTATTGGAAATGGAGTTCCACACCTACCTCCCCCCATTACGACTACGTATGTATACGTCCAAAGGTTCTCTACTAATGTCCCAAAATTCTATTCAAAATTTTTCCGTTATTGTCCAAGTAAAAATATCTACTGGGTTGAGAATGCGAGAACAAAGGAAATTAGTTCACGACCGAATGTGCAAAAGTTTCAAGTTCAAAAGACCGACCCAATCCATTGTACAATGATTGTGTCTGTGTGCGTGCGTGTGTGCGCTCGCGCGCGCGAGTGACTGTATATGCCTGTAAGTGAGGGCAAACAATATTGAATGCTGGTCAATCGTAGCTGAACTGTTCTACCTACCCAGTCTGCGAAACAAAGGCTACCAATCGAGGACTATAGATGAAGAGAGCACACAATCTGTGTCACTCGTCTCCACATTGTATTACGGGGTTACAAATGATAGCACAAGTCCGATTGCTAAATTTAAATGAAACTGAAAGAAAGTTCAGTTCAATGAAATAAATCAGGAGAATATTCTTTAAGGAGAAGTTTTTAAAAGCCTGATCCAAATCTCAAAATAGTTTCCAATGACCGTGGAACTGACTGTTGAACCACTGTAATTGTCAAAACTTGCTTGTATAGATCCCAGATTGTTTTACGATGTGACGAGTGAGGAGATTGAAAGCAATGTGATCATCTCACAGTATTTGTCTTCACACTCTTCTAAAGAACCATAGCTATGCCCAGAACGTTTTCAAACGACTGTTTCTGTCGCTTGTTGTCCAAAATTGATATTTAATTAAAACAATTAGTGCTCCTTTCAACAGTTTCAAACATAAGCGGAAAACACGTCACGGGGTAGGTTACACATTTTATGCAGATTTTCGCTTATTCTCAGAATATAGTTAGAAAATATTCTCCTTGAGGGGAAAATATTTGCTCGTCTGATTCATTTTGTTCTTCGTCATGGGTGAGCCAGGTCACAGTCTTCTGGATCCCGGAGAGAAGTGGTATGTACACCAGACTTTTGCACACTTCCCTAAGGCATAGTTACCTTTGATAGTCAGATTGGAAATTGTGGTTCAATTCATTGAATATATATCAACAAACCAATTAGTGGTATTCAATTAATAATCTGGGACAACATGTTCCACCTTTTTTCGACACTGAGCTTCAGAATGAAATATATAAGTATCACTGTTTTTCAGGACCATTGTACCACGAATACACGATTTTTACTGATATTGTAGTGATTTTAGTTGATGTTCGTTTTCTTCATAAACATCAAAGTATGGTATGAAATTTGTGTTCTGCTTGTGTTTACTCCCAAGCTGGGAGCGTCAAAGTCCACACTCAGCGATTCGGCTGCCTCTGAGTTCCCAAGACCATCCTTTAGACAAATTGGCCCGTGGTGTGAAAAATAACTCCCGTGATACTGTAGACACTGCAGTCGGTTTCATACCCTTAAGGAATAAATCTTCACTGTAACCAGCGAGTGGGTTGTGAAGTAGATTGCACGTAACCAACGGTTAAATCCAAACAGACACATAAGCGTCACTGGTTTCGTGTGCTACGGTCAGACACTTCAATGATTTCACTTGGTCAGTAAGCTGTGTCACAGTAACTACTTATCATCTTTACTTTCGGTGCACTCAGATAAGCAATGACGAAGTCAGCTTAGAAATCGGTCGGTGAATTGCAATTGTGCACTTGCGCAGTGATTCACGCTAAGCGCTTTACCCCTATCCGTCACTGACCGTGACTGAGTGTGTTACTCATGTCACCGGTTTGTTCTCTCTGCGTGTGATACTGTGCTTGGAAGAAAGTAACGAGTGGTCGATTATGATCTGGTATCAGATACATGAAAAGCCTGAATAGCAGGCACGGTCGCACAAACCGTGTTGGGAGTACCGAGGTCAGTTTAACTGACAACATTCAAAGGACGGAAATGGAAGTTCAATGGTTGTGCATTGAAAAATAAAAAACATGAAATTATTAACAACCCATGGTAGGACAAATGTCAACATACCTTATTTGACGATGCATATTAATGAACTTTCTATTTGCTGTTGTAAACCGACCAACTGCAAAGTAGTTTTGTGCTGTATTTTTGTGCCTTAGCCCTAGCAACTGACTTGGTCAAGTAGGCAGCCAATTACGATGGAATGAATCAGCCAAACTTAGTTTCACTTGATCGGATTTTTATCGAATATCAAAGGTGTGGTGGGTAAAAGTGGATTAGTAATCCTCATGGTATCCATTTAACATGATTCATGGGTGGTGGGGTCTAAATTAGGGTCACATTCAGCTTTAGGCAGAATTTTGGTGCAACAAAAACTATTCATTTTCCATCTGTTCAAAAGATATCATACATATTCAAACTGATTTCATTTTCTTCTAATCGCTTTGAGTATGGAGGCCTTCATGAAAATTATTTGGTAAAATTTTAACTTCTACCATCCATCCATCCAAGCACGCTGACCGGTATTCGTGATTTGACCACAAAACTTGCATTCACATTATGTTGTCCCATTTTCTGCTTCTTTCCACCTCGTCCAAAACAGCTTTTGTTTATTCATATCCCTATTTTGACAGTTCCTTCCAAATTTAAAAGCTTTATCTGCCAGTGTTGTCAATCCAGTCGTGAGTTTGTATTTTTAATCGATTTTTACCAAGACTATTTATGTACAACCACGTTCAATATATTCACTGCTGTCCACTAACATTATTTTTCCCAGACAGAGCGTACGGACTGAGTTCGCATGCTTAAACCTTGGTGTAAGTCACTATCGCGAAATCCATCAGTTCGGTTCAACTGTGCTTCTGTGGTTCACAATAGTTGTTACTCCTTGCTTTCTGTTCACCCTAGGAGTATTTAGCGTTCCTCTTAGCCGCTGCCCGCATGAACAACATGGCGTAAGGAAACAGTTATGAAAAAACTCTCTGTAACAACAATTGTTTGTCCTCTCAAAGTGTTTCG